GGGGGGGGGGTTGCGGGACCCTTTGGCCCTGGCTATCCTCTCTCTCACCCCTAAGCTGGCCCCAGACCACCCTGCCATTGACCCCGTAGTCCCCCTGGCTTGCCCATTGTCCAGGCTGAGAGCCCACCTGCCACAGGACTGGGTACTTGGGAGGGGGGTCCGGCCTTGGTGGCCTCTCTCCCGCAGGTGCCCCTGGCAGCCTCCTTGCCCCCTCGCTGGGCAGGTCCTGGGCCAGCAGGGACGCTGATTTGGGGGTCGCTCTCTTCCCCGGCCACGTGCCTCCAGCCTGGCGCCCTCACGTCAGAGCCCCAGGAAAACTCCGAGATGGTTCCTTTGCCCCCAGAGGTGATGCAAGGAATGAAGTTCCGGTTGGGGATAAGCCCTGGTGAGATGTTTCCCAGTGGCCGATGAAGGAGAAGGGCAGGCGAGGGGGTGTCCTTGGAGAGAGCTAGCCCAGGGAACCCCTAAGCTGAAAAGCAGTTCCAGCCGGAGGAAACGGATGCGAAGGCCTCTTGAACCGGACGGACCTCGTGGTGCGACACCACCTTTCCCGAGAGTCGTGGGGTGTGTGCGTAATTCCTGTCTCGGTGGCGCCTTCGCTCCAACTAACTGTCCTTCGAGCTGGGCAGGTGGGCTACGACCCTCACCTGCCAGGATTTTTCTGTCTGGAGTCGTTTCCAAGGAAAAGGGCTTGGATCTCTGGGTTTTTCCCCCTCGAAATTAGATTAGGGGGCAACCTCTCTCCTCCCTGTGAGAAGGAATTTCCGTTCTGCTCTCCCCTTCGCTTCCCAAGCTCATCAGTGGCGGTGCAGCAACCCAGCTTGCTGTTAAATAAGCAAACCAGCAGGGACCAATTTTAGCCCCCGGCCTCCCCCCTCCCCGGTTTTCTTTTGGCCATGTTTGCGGCCCCTCCCGCCCCCCACCCCCACTTTCTGCTCCTTTTCTGCACAGCTGCTGCGCCGTTTCGGAAGACAGGTCTTCGTTGTGCTTTTCTGCCCCTTCAAGGCAGACCTGGTAGCCATCCAGACAGGCTGTTTGGGAAAGGAGGGGGTCCCGGTGGGCCGATGGTCAGATCGTCACCCCGAGTTGCCCTGGAGGAGGTGAGAGGAAGGCTGGCCCAGGTAGGTTGCAACACCTGACAGGGCAAGGTTAAGGTTCAACATTCCCCAGAGAGACCTGGGCCATTTAAGGGGGTGGCCAGGATTTCATTCTCCCTGCACTGTCAGGGGGTCCCTTCCGGGGAGCATTTGCACCAAAGGGCTGGACCACTTCCTCCCCTCCCCCCCCTCCCCTCCCTCCCTTTTAATTGGAAATAAAATTGGAAGCACCTAAACTCCAGGAATGCATTTCTAAGTCATTCTCTTTTCAGTTTTCCATCTTTTTCTTTTCTTTCTTTCTCTCTCTTTCTTTCTTTCTTTCTTTTTTGGTAAACTAGGAAATAATTATTTTAAAATAAAGGAAACAAAACTAAAAAGGTGATTTATTTAAAAGAACTACCATTTTAAAACAAATAGCTTACAAATTATGGGTAACCTTAGATTTAACTTCGTCTCCTTCCCTTCCCTTCCCCTTACTCGTGTTGTCAGGGGAGAAACAATTCCTTCAAGGCATGGATGCAAATATGAAAATATAAAAAAAATACACAACTAAATAAAGCTTATTTTAAAGTATGCCTTGCTATACGTTTTGATGACACCAGTGTTTGCTCAAATGTTGGAGCCAAGGGAGACCCATCAGATGAAGGGATGAAGGCTTTTCAGGTTTTGTGGGGGATCCTGGGGGGGGGGGGGTTGTCTGGCCTTCGGTGGGGTCAGAGGCATCGCCTGCAAAGGGGAGTTTGGGGAGAGCCACCCACCCTCCTGCAAGGGAATGCAGAATGCTCGGATGGGTGGGGGCCTCTCGCTCAGGAGGGTCTCCGCACAGAAGGAGCAGTCTGAACAACAGCTGGGAGGACCCCCGGGGAAGAGGGCTGCGGACCCACACCTCTGCTTCTGGGGGGCAGATCCTGACCCCAACCCCAGCCTCCTCCTGGGTTTTTCAGATTCTCTGCAGCTGTAATCCATCACTACTGAGTCTCTGTCAGTGTTACTCTTTTGCCTTTTTTTCCCCCCTCTTTGCCAACCACACTTTCAGAGGATATTTTTAATGGGAAAAGGTAAAGATTGTTGAACTTCAGCAGCCACTTTGGAGACTCTAGTCCCCAAGGTGCTTTTCCAAGAGGCAACTGGACTTTGTTTTTCCTTGAAGACGTTTCACTTCTCATCCAAGAAGCTTCTTCAGTTCTTCAGTTCATTCTTCAGAACTGAAGAAGCTTCTTGGATGAGGAGAGAAACGGCTTCAAAGAAACGTCCAGTTGCCTTTTTGAAAAAGCACCTTTGGGACAACCATGGTTGTCCTGTGGCGACATCTAGTGGCTTGAAGAAGTATTGCACCACAAAGAGCAGGCAGAAAAAAACTGCCAGAAAA